GAGGACACTCTTCAGTGGCTGTAAGAGTTTGTTGAACTGCCCCAATATGAAAAGAATTTTAGAGACAGCAATGTCAATGGAACAACACTTCCCAGGTGAACTTTTCTTCTGGATTAGTTTCAAATAATTTCCTGTAGGTTGCTACTTTAGTCTGTATGTGGGAAAAATTACGTGAACCTAAGTCTAACAAGATATGGTCAAATGCAAGAAAAGAGAAGCGTCCTTGCAGTTTTTGAAGAGCTGGTTGCATTTTTTTTTTTCTGCCAAAATATTTCAAAGTATAAATGCTTCTTGCTACTCCTTTCGTCTTAGTTTTGTTTCTTGCTCTTGAAGCTTTTATTGATGATCACATAATTCTGTATGGTAGTGTGCTTTATTTTGAACAACTTTCAATCTGTTGTATGGGTATACATCAAAAACTATCTGCAGAACCCCTTTTCTTAAGCATAACTACTAAATTTGAGTATTGCATGTATTTTAGAGAGTTGGTGTCACAAGTCTGCAAATATACCATTACCTCTTTAACTGTGCTAAATGGATTTATTTCATGATTATTCCAGAAAGAAAAGAATAGGGAAATTATTTGATGTTCTTCCTTTACCACATGCTGATACGCTTTTTTTTTATAGCACTACTGTCATTGCATTATATCTCTCATTCTAATTTCATAACTATAATCTATGTAACTGTGGGAAATGCTATTGATGTATTTCTTTCCATAGACTAGTTTTCAATATAGCTTGTGCAATAGGTAATGTTTTGTCTTATCATTAACAGGATAGCAGTAAATGAACATGCTTTCATGATCTCTCACTTGAAAATAATTGACCGGAGCCATAGACAGAAGCTTCAGCTTAAAGCCTTGGACGTTGTTTTATTTGGACCTCTCACACGTTAGTAACTCTTTGGAGTTCGTTCTTATCTCTTATTTGTAAGAATTCAACAGAATATTTTCAGTGACACTTGATACTGTAGGTAGGACAGCTTATCTATTTTGTGGATGTATTGATGGATTGCTTGGCATGCGTTATGGAACTGGGCAATGAATTAAAAAAAGGTTATCAAGATGCTGGGATCAGGACAAAGGTTCACTTCTGTGTGTAAGATTATGTAGAACTTTTAGTATAACCCCACTTGACAGATGGATGTTGGCTTTTGTGTCACAAGAAGTGACCTCTAAATGTTTTTGACTGTTTAAATTACACTTATAGCTAATGTTACATTCACTTCCTAATTAGCTTGGACAGCGTAAGCTGGGATGCTGAAATGAGAGGGGATGACCTTCCCCGAGGAATTAAAAAGGAGATGGTGGTGCAAATCCAGTACCAGTGTTTTTTGTGCAGACTCGAGTTTAAGTACAGTTAAATTTAATGCAGCAGTTCCACATATGACCCATTTGAGCACATGCAGACATTTCCTTACCACATCACCAGTGGTCTGTGTGCTTGCTTGTACGCAGTTACAGATCTGTTGTGGTACTGTGCATGTCGGGTATTCCTGAACTAGGAGGCCCTTCCAGAGCTTGGTGGTCAGTTCAGAGACTAGCGAATGACTTTGCAAAAGTCAGGCCAGATGTGAGCTGGCCTGACTGATTTGAGTTAGCCTGACACATCTGAGCTGGAGATTTTTAGGGGGAAAAAAAGCACATTGTGTTTGCATTATACCTTTAATGCTAGCAGAAACTGTCTTTTAAAAGTTTGTTTTACAAAGGTGCAAGTGAGTATAAAAGTTGTACTAACAAAGAAGTGTATGTGAATCTTGGATATAGTACCTTGACAATCCAGGTTTTGCTTTTAAAAAGTGCTGCTATTAGCTACTTACCCTTTTAAAATCTACTTTATTTTGTACAAGTGCATTTTTAACTCAGCATAGGGTATTCCAGAGGGCACAGACTGGGGAGAACTTAGTCGGACATAACTAAAGTTCCTACTGGCCTGATAAAGTGTAATTGGGGAAACTCTCTCTTAACTCATTTAAATAAAGATACAGACTATGTATTGTAAAAGTTTAGTAAGCTTTCCTCAATCAAATGTATGTTTTAGTATAGAATAAGTAGATTGTATTACAGCAGAGTTGCTTTTGTTGTATGGAAAATGCTCTGGAATCTATTTGAAAGGTTGAAAGGTAGTTGTTGGAGATGGTTTGAGATAAATGAGCTGGAATTCTGTTTAGCATCAGGTTCTGTCACCTTTTAGGTTGTGGGGGGAAAAAAAAAGTCTATTGTCTGTATCAATGAACTAGTTAATGATCATGTTATTCTCTGCACAGGTCCCCCTCACAACTGGATGAAGGATTTTATATTAACAGTTTCTATAGTTATTGGTTTTGGAGGCTGCTGGTTTGCATATACACAGAACAGAACCTCAAGAGAACATATCACAAAAATGATGAAGGACTTAGAAAGTCTCCAAACAGCAGAGCAAAGCCTTCTTGACTTGCAGGAGAGGTATAAATCTAAAAAAGTTAATGTTTAGTTTCCTTTTGTTTTGAGGTTAAATACAAATACAGATCCTTTACAGTCATAAATTATTTGCATTAAGCTGCCTTTGGATGTTGTTCATCTTCATTTTGCAGGGAAGTTGTGATTTCAGTGACGACGGGTTTTTGGGTAGAAATTGCTTCTGGGTATTTTAGCAGGCAATATGAACTTGGGGATGAAGGTAGAGAATAGAGGTTCAATCTTTTTTACCTATAGATTTAGAAGTATGTACTATTTTTTTTCCATATAATTACAGTTTACTTTGGAATACTTACATACATGGAAATGAGAACATTTCTTCTGTTTTTAAGCTCTTAAGATTGAAATGGAGCTGGGCTGATTACTTTCTATTGCTTATTTAGCAGTGTGAGAGCTGATAGTCTTCTCTGGTGCACTTGTTAACTCAATTGCCTATAAAGATGTGTATTTTGATCTTATTACACCTTTAATGAAGGCTCACCTAAAAGTTCGCATGTTTTATCTGACATGGACATCACATTGTGTGATGTAATTGCTGCTGGTTCATGAAGCTTGCGCGGTCTTTATTATCACAGAATGGTTGAGGTTGGGAGGTCATCTTGTCTAGCTCCACCTGCTCAAGCAGGATCATCTAGAACAGGTTGTCCAGGACCACGTCCAGGCAGCTTCTGAATATGTCCAAGGATGGAGACTCTACCACCTCCCTGGGCAACCTGTGCCAGTGCTCAGTCATGCTCACGCTGAAAAAGTGTTTCCTAATGTTCAGATGGAACCTCTTGTGTTTTGGTTTGTGCCCATTGCCTCTTGCCCTGTTGCTGGACACATTTTCTTCTCCCGAGGACTGCAACTTTTAACAAAAATGCTGTGTATTTTCTCATATTTTTTTGTTCAATTGTGAAGGCTTGAGAAAGCACAAGAAGAGAATAGAAATGTTGCTGTGGAAAAGCAAAATCTGGAGCGCAAAATGATGGATGAGATCAATGATGCAAAACGGGAAGCTCATCGCCTAAGGGAGTTGAGGGAGGGAGCTGAATGTGAGCTCAGCAGGCTCAAATATGCAGAGGAAGAGCTAGTACAGGTATCTGCAAACTGTTTATACTTTTAGTGTTGACTTTAAATTGGTCCTGGTTTTATTAGATCCTTAGGAGTGTTTAAAGCAGCATTTCTCTAATGCTAGATTTGAATGGAAAAATTCTAAGAGCACTTAATGATTGTCTGTCATGCTGTTATCTAGTAAAATAATCCTGAAACTATAAAAAGACATACACCTTGTATATTAGCTTATCATAATGTTGTTGGATTCATGGAAAAAAATATATGCAAAAGCTGTTTTTTTTTTCTATCTTGTTATCAGACCTAATGTTCATGGAACCTCTTGTGTTTTGGTTTGTGCCCATTGCCTCTTGCCCTGTTGCTGGACACATTTTCTTCTCCCGAGGACTGCAACTTTTAACAAAAATGCTGTGTATTTTCTCATATTTTTTTGTTCAATTGTGAAGGCTTGAGAAAGCACAAGAAGAGAATAGAAATGTTGCTGTGGAAAAGCAAAATCTGGAGCGCAAAATGATGGATGAGATCAATGATGCAAAACGGGAAGCTCATCGCCCCCTGTTGCTGGACACATTTTCTTCTCCCGAGGACTGCAACTTTTAACAAAAATGCTGTGTATTTTCTCATATTTTTTTGTTCAATTGTGAAGGCTTGAGAAAGCACAAGAAGAGAATAGAAATGTTGCTGTGGAAAAGCAAAATCTGGAGCGCAAAATGATGGATGAGATCAATGATGCAAAACGGGAAGCTCATCGCCTAAGGGAGTTGAGGGAGGGAGCTGAATGTGAGCTCAGCAGGCTCAAATATGCAGAGGAAGAGCTAGTACAGGTATCTGCAAACTGTTTATACTTTTAGTGTTGACTTTAAATTGGTCCTGGTTTTATTAGATCCTTAGGAGTGTTTAAAGCAGCATTTCTCTAATGCTAGATTTGAATGGAAAAATTCTAAGAGCACTTAATGATTGTCTGTCATGCTGTTATCTAGTAAAATAATCCTGAAACTATAAAAAGACATACACCTTGTATATTAGCTTATCATAATGTTGTTGGATTCATGGAAAAAAATATATGCAAAAGCTGTTTTTTTTTTCTATCTTGTTATCAGATGAGAGATAGTAGCTTTGTCTCACTCTTCTGAGTAGCAATAGATTGGATTTATTGTACTAAATAAAATGCTGTCTTACAAAAATATTTAAGCTTCAAGTTAGGGATATATATCATAGAAAAAATCTGAGTATAATATAGTATATGGAAATTCGTATGCTATATTTCAGAAATGCCTGATCTGCCTTCCTGACAGCAATTGGCACACACCAAAGCTCTGTAAAGCCTTAGTATGTTGCTGTGGGGTATAAACGTGCTTATATTTCACTTTCTTCTGCTGTCAGTTCTAATCATACTCTTGGTGACACTTTTATTTCTTTTGATTGCTAGGTTCGCATGGCTTTAAAAAAAGCTGAGAAGGAGTTTGAGCTGAGAAGTAATTGGTCTGTTCCTGAAGCTTTGCAGAAGTGGCTTCAGTTAACGCATGAAGTTGAAGTACAATATTACAATATCAAAAGACAGCATGCAGAAATGCAATTAGCAATCGCCAAAGATGAGGTACTAACTCTTACTCTTCAGCTACTTAAAGACTTTTCTGATCTGTTGCTAGATATATGAAATAGTAAATACAAATTATTCAGATAAGCATTTGGATATTTTTTTCTCCTCTGAGTTGTTCTTTGCTGCCTGTCAATATTGCTGATGTTTTGTCATCTGTGTTAAGTATATGACTTCTAGTTTTATGCATTTCATTTTATCTTGCTTTTAGGCAGAAAAGATAAAAAAGAAGCGAAGCACTGTATTTGGAACATTACATGTTGCACACAGCTCCTCCCTGGATGAAGTGGACCATAAAATTCTTGAAGCAAAGTAAGATTATTACCAGGATGCTTATTCTTTTGTGATTGATTATTCCTGGAACAATGGAATTTTTTGAGAGTTATGGAGTTTAGTGTCTTAGTGGTTTTGCACTTTTAAGTAAAACAGTTTAAAAGGTATTGAAGTGCGAGTATTTGGACAGTCCTAATGGATCTTCTGGTATGCTAAAATGACTGCACTTGTGTTGCTTTGCTTTATCATTAAGAACAGTGTACATAATTGCAATGTGTGCTTTTCTTCAGGAAAGCACTCTCTGAGTTGACGACGTGTTTGCGAGAGCGTCTTTATCGATGGCAACAGATTGAGAAGATTTGTGGTTTTCAAATAGCACACAATTCTGGGCTACCAAGCTTGACCTCCTCCCTCTACTCTGATCACAGCTGGGTAGTTATGCCTCGAGTTTCAATTCCTCCTTACCCGATTGCAGGGGGAGTAGATGACTTAGATGAAGATACTCCTCCAATAGTTTCACAGTTTCATGGTAAGTGGTGAGCTCAGTAAAAAGAAAGGGGAAAAGTTGTGGAGGCGTGGGATTTTAAAGTTAGGTGGGAGAAGAGTGCTGAAATCAAACAGGATTGGATCAGAGTCAAAAGGACCAAAATTTTATCTAGCATTTTGGATGCATCTTTTTGGACTTGCATAAACTGAAAACTGGGTTTTGCAATAAAGGTAATATGAAGAAAAAGCCTTTACTCCCTTTCAGTGGGGGGGTGAGGGAGTGGGGGGCAAATCCAGCTAAAGTTTTGAAAGTCTGCTGGTCATGCTTGGATTGCCACTTAGACAAAATTTATAATGAGTAATGCTGAGTTTCTGTTAGCACATTTATTCTTTCAGATGGAAGGGATGGAGTTAGTCTAGGGTCCCTTGAGTTGCTAGGAAGATCACACCCTTTGAGAAGCTGCATGGTACATAGCTTTTCAAACATTCTTTAGTGCCTGGAACAAAATCCTGTTGTTGTCCAAGGGAAGCTTTCAGGCAGAATGTTTGTGTTTGGATAAGTGGGTGGTTTGAGTGTGAGGCAGAGAGGCCAAGTGCTGGAGGGAGGGAAATCCAGCTTTGGTTAAACTATGATCAAAAGGTATACACTGGGGATTCAGACCACCCTTGTATCTCGAGTCATTGCATCGGTACAAGAGCTTGTTTCATGGAAGTTGTGATTAACTGGATTCTAGAGGCAAATCAAAAAGATGAGCTCCCGTGTAGCTATTCAAACAAGCAATATCAAGCTGAGGAATGAGTAGGGAAGAAAACTTTGTCAAATGTGTACATTTTTCTTCCAGGGCTGGGATTCTCAGAAGAAATTAGAACTGTATTTTAAAATAGTGTAAGGAAACTAGTCACCACTTTGCTGGCTTCATTTAGTGTGCCTTGGGCACACATTTTTCTTCCAAATGTACCAACCTTTTTTCTACAGGCCACATTCAGAAGTTCATTAATCTCCTTGCAACACTACTTACTGCAAGTTCTGATCACTTTTAAAGAATACTCTGTCTAGTCGTCTTCACTGTGAAGGCTTTGATTTAAACCTTAGCAACAAATTTCTTGGACAGCCCAGTAAAATATGGATGCCTAGAGTTAAACTTCCAAGTCTATATGGAGGAACCTGTGGTCTGATTTCAAAATGAAGACCTCCATTTATTATCATTATTTCCAGATGGTCTAAAATGACAAAACACTTAGATATGTATATAAGACTTCAGACTTGTGATTTTTTTTTTAGTCACTCTTCTCATTCAGGACTTGCGTAGAAGTGAAGCCAGAGAGCAAAGTGCAGTTGGTTCAGAGGAACTACGATTAGAGAAGGACTGTACCGTTTGTAAGAGCATACTTAGTTGAAACTTTACTGTATCCTTTTGCAATTATGGTTTAATTTTTTTGTTAAAGTTCAGTTCATTTGGAAGTATTTAGCTAATGGATGTTGTCTCAGTCAGTGATGAAAATTATCTGAATCTTAGTAACATTACAAAAACTTTAAATATGTTTTTCTGAATTTTGGTAAAGCGTGAGAGCCTGATTTTGTTAAAGTGAGGGAAGTAGCTTCTCCTTAATTTACTAGCTTTTAAAATTTCTACTCAGTAAAAAAACCCTGGAAACGCTTGGGAGTGGGGAAAGAGAGGGAAAATATGCTAAACGATCTGTTGTTGAAACCAGTTCAGGAGTCAAATTATTGTAGGTTAGTTTGGTAACTGCTAAATTATTCCCATCCTTTAGACAAAAATGACAAATGCACATGAGGAAGGGCAGAAGCTAAATGGCTTGTCTCACTCATGAGGCTTCAGGCAAAATGCAGTGTGCAGACAGGTCAGTTGTGAGCAAGACTGTTTCAGTGTCTGGACCTGAACTGAACTGTCTGGGCTGTTACCTTGCCCCAGCATCCTTTGATCTCTTAAGATTGACAAAACTTGAAATCTGCCAGTCAGACTTCTTTGTGCCGCAGCAATTGGGTTGATAGGCTAAAATGGTGTGAAGTAATAAATCTGTTTAATCAATCCTGAGCTGAAGAAGAAAAGGGGATAAAGAAATAGATGTACGAGACTGGAACAAAGTAATTACAGGAAGGTGATAGTGAAACTTCTACTTTTCTTTGACTGATTAGGATTCAGCTGATTCCTTGATTTTAGTGGGTTTTGTTTTGTGGTGGTTTAACCCCAGCTGGCAGCTAAGCACCACACAGCTGCTTGCTCGCTCCCTCCCGGTGGGATGGGGGAGAGAATCAGAAGGGTAAAAGTGAGAAGACTCGTGGGTTGAGACAAAGACAGTTTATCAGGTAAAGCAAAAGCCGTGCACACAAGCAAAGCAAAACCAGGAATTCATTCACTCCTTCCCATGGGCAAGCAGGTGTTCAGCCATCCCCAGGGAAGCAGGGCTCCATCACACGTGACAGTTACTTGGGAAGACAAAATGCCATCGCTCCCAATGTCCCCCCCCTTCCTTCTTCTTCCCCCAGCTTTATATGCTGAGCATGATGTCATATGGTGTGGAATACCCCTTTGGTCAGTTGGGGTCAGCTGTCCCAGCTGTGTCCCCTCCCAACTCCTTGTGCACCCCCAGCCCCCAGCCTACTCACTGGTGGGATGGTGTGAGGAGCAGAAAAGGCCTTGACTCTGTGTAAGCACTGCTCAGCAGTAACTAAAACA